GTCCCAGTCTGACCACCCCTGTGTGAGTAGTGGTCCCAGTCTGGCCACCCCAGAGAAAAATGTCTGGCTCCACCCCTGGTCCAGGCTCTTCATGCCGAAATAAAAGACTAAAACCTGCTATTATCAGAGAAATGACCACTTACCTGATGAAGTGCACACTTCAAAAAACAATTTTTAATGTATTTTTTCAAATAAAATCAGCTTAAACAAACATATAAATCCTTTTTATTGTGTGTCTTATGTGGTCTTTGCAGCTCATGTCTGGATGTCCAGCCTCAGTACCTGAGCTGCCATGTCCACCAGGTTGGGCAGCTTCAGCGCTCGTCCCTCTCCATCCTTCAAGAAGTCCAGCAGGCTTCCTGCAGCAAACAAACACACACCTGCTGTCACTTCATTTCCACATGAAGCCCAGGGGGTCCTGTGGCCCCCCACCCCTAACTGGAACAGGCTCGGCCACATGAAGGAATCTGGCAGATGTTTGTCGGGGGGTTTGTTCGTGGTCTCAGCAGCAGAGTTGTCAGAAGGACACGACTTCAGTGATTTTTTTAAAGAACCCATTTAAAAACCTCCAGCAGTTTTTTCCTGTAAGAACACTCAGAGAAGCAGAAATAAATGTGGAACGTGGGTTTTCTGCTGACTCCTTCCATCTGATGTGGTTTYTAAAACTCACTGCTTTGCTTTCATGCTCCAAATAATCTTTGTTCTGATCMGACTCTGGACTCGAGTGGAGAAAGTTTTGTGTGATTTGGTGCCACCTTTGTTTCAGGCGGTCTGCAGTCAGGTTAAACTGAAGTGTGTGTAAAAACAGTGTGGAAGCTGAAAATGGTGGTGCTTATATAGATTATCCCCACATGACGTCACACTTCCTCCATCAGGACTGCCTGTTCAGTCTGTAGAACATCAGGTATTGTTTGAACTTTCCACCACGTTAACTGTGAGTGAGCGAGAGAACTAGGGCTGCCACGATTAATCGATTAATCGACRACTACCGTATTTTTCGGACTATAAGCCGCGACTTTTTTCCTGAACTTTGAACCATGCGGCTTATAGTCCGGTGCGGCTTATACATGGATTTTTTTTCTTCAGCCACCAGGGGGCTCTTATGCTCCATTTGCTTCAACCACTCGCTTCAAAAAAATAAAGGAATCTTTGGACGGCAAATTTGGGTGTACTGTTTTTTTTATGTTGGGGGTGTGGCTTATAGTCCGAAAAATACGGTAGCTTACAAAAGTTTAGAAAAAAAGCTGAAAAACAAAGTCTTTGTAACAACGCTCACACAAAACAGAGTTGACTAGACCACCATCAAAATGACTAGCTTCAGGTCTGGTCTGAAGAAGAAACCTGTTGAAGTTAAACAAGCACAACAATTCCTCCACAGTTTTATTAGTGAACAGGAAACACAAAGCCACGGTGGACAGTGTCTACCTTTGCTCATGTACTCGGTGACGATGTAGATGGGCTCTTCAGACACGACGGCGTACAGCTGCACCAGCTTGTCGTGGCGGAGCTTCTTCATGATCTGGGCCTCCTCCAGGAACGACTCGGGGGACATGGTGCTGGGCTTCAGCGTCTTCACCGCCACTTTGGTGGTGCCGTTCCACGTCCCTGATGGCAGGCAGACAGACGGGGCGTGAGCAGAAACACATTCAAACTGTGTCCGAGTCCACAACACTGAGGGTGGGAGGGTGTCATGCACGGGGGGGGGG